TTTTGTTTAATTAAATATACAGTTCCTATAATATAATATATTATATAAATACCTCTGACATTGTATTCCTTAGGTACATTTTAATTCTCTTCAATGACGAAAAAGACCTTTCGGATGAAGCTATTGAAACAGGTAGTGTTGATAATATTTGTAGTAATTTGTATATATTTGGATACATGTCATTGCAGATAATTAAAGCATCCATAGCATTTGTAGGTTGTTTATCTAGTGCAAGTATTTTACGTTGCCAAAGTTTTAACTCAGATATCAAAATATCTTTATTGTTATCTGCCAAATCATCATTATAAAAATCTATCAAACTAATAAATTCATCTTTTTCAAGTGTTGACATTTCTGTAGTTTTTGGAAATAAGTTTTGAAATCCTTTTAATATTTTCTGATGTTCAATAAATCTTGATTCAATTTCGTTAATAAACAAGTCTAAATAGGGTATGAATATTGTTATTTTAAAATATTCTTCAGGTGTATTCACTGAATAGTTATCCCTGTTTTCTTGTTTACGTGCAATTCGAGGTAATATTATTGAAAAACACAACTCCTGAGCTAGAGCAGATGCTTTTGTGTAGATATCATGAAAATATTCATCAACGTTACTTCGAATTGTTTTTAATTCAGACAGTGTCGCATTAGCTAAAACCATAGCTTCTCTTAAATCAATAGCAACGCTTTGGAATTGTTTAGACAGTGGCAATCCAATGGCAAATATTTTAGATAAAACCAAAAGTGATATGATAAACTCTCCTTGTAAAATTGAATTTTTTTAATTATTTGCTTGACTTGAGGTATCACCATCGGCCCAACTACTAATTGTGTCTAAGGAATCAATGACACATTCTAAAAGTTCGATAAAATCATGAACTGAATGAAAACGTTCGATCCATCTTGTAGCACAGTTGCGTTTTAATGTTTTTGCATTAATTGTTCCATTAAAGTCTTCGTTGCTTGTGAAAGTATATTTTTTCGTTTGGGGTATACAAAGAAATCACGTGGTTTTCCAATCGTACCCAAGCAGTTTCTAATTGGTTGTATTGTACAGGTTTTAGATACTGTTAAGTTTAAAGTGTATGCTGTACAGTGTACATAAGTTGCCATCGGATATAATTGAGAAATATGTGATCTAACACTATTAAATTGTCCAGACATAGCTGCAGCCCCATCGTACCCCTGCCCACGTAAATACTTAAGTTCTATCCCGAACGCCTTCAAATTTTCAATAATTAGGGTTGCTAAGCCTCTGCCAGTTAAATCGTTTGTGGGAAAAAATTGCAAAAAATCTTCTCTGACAATTAATTCATCTACATCAACATATTTAACACATAAAGACACTTGCTCTATACCAGATACATCGGCAGTTTCATCAGCAAGGACAGTGAAACATTTTGCTTTATTTATTTTAGCTACAATTTTATTAAGTATTACCGTGTTGCAACAATCAATAACAGCATTTTGGCTAATAGGACTAATATATTTATTTCGTTCACCTGGACCTTCAAGAAATGTTTTGAGCTTTAGATCACCACGAGCTCTATACCGCAATAGTTCCCTAAAGTTTCCTACATTTTAAGTTTGTATTGTATCTACATTAATTTTACCAAAATCGCTATGTCCTCGTATTGCAAGCTCTTGACAACATCATAAAATAATACCTTCAATTATAGGTACTGACCCAAGTACTAGGATGATCGTCAATAAAGTGATGAAAAAGAATACAAACAATTCCGGAAAACCAAAAATTACAAAAAACAAGGTAATACACATGATTATAGAAATATTGAAATTATTATGTATTTATAGTTCAAATAAATAAACATTAAATTATTATATAGCTAATTGATAATCTAATAATAATTTATAGATTGAATCATTTTTAAACATGTTGGACGACGAGTATGCTGAGTCTAGAAATGGTGAGTCAAATTTATTAAGAATAAAGAAACCAAATGGTGGGGAATTACACCATCAAAATACCATCGTCAGAAAACACAGATTATTACTACGTACTTTCCGTACGTTTTTGTTTTCTAAAAAAATAACTAATATAAATATTTTATGTTCTTAATTCTTTTGTCAATTATTTTCATGTTATCATTTTTTAATAATATCTATAGTTTTAATGTACATCATTTTTATTTCTGTAAATAAAATGAATATATCAATACCGAATATTGGTTAAAACAACTATTGATTTAAAAAAAATGAGGAGGGGAAAAAAGGTAATTAATATAACTTTTAATTATTGATTATTCATAGTTTTTTTTTATTAAAAAACAAGTAAAAATATACAAAAAATTAATAAATTAAAAATTAAAAATAGATATATACAAAAAAATATGAACAAATAAAAATTAATACATGACAGAAAATAAATAAACCAATAAATGAAAAAAAAAAAATCATTCTTCCTTTTCTAAAAAAGACATCAATTGTAAAATTATATATTATTAATGTTGGTAATATTATAAAGTATAATTTATAAATAAAAACAAATTTATATGATTCAATATTATAAGCAAGTATCCATAAGTTACTATGACTATTATTATGATGCAGTAATAATATTATAATGGCATACCTACATTTTTTTTTTACATAATTTATCATAAATTTAAACCACATTATGATCAATAAAAATATTATTTTTAATAGGACTTAAAGTATTTAATTTAAGCAGAATTCCACCACTATTAATAATAGGCTGAAAGTGACTGACCAAAATAGCTAACAAAATAACACTAAAATTAGGTACTTGCTTTATCCTGTAAAAGATGATTAATTAATAACTGCGTAATTAAGTTTTGAGCATCATCAGAGAGGTATCCATTATTTTTTTTATTGTCAGCTAGTAGCCACCGACCATCATTGGTTGTATGCAATAGATTTAATATAGTCTATAAAAACATATTTCATTCATTTTAAAACAAATAGAAACCTACAAATTATTTCAGACAGATTAAATGTCATTATTTTACTTCAATTGTCCATTCCATCGGTTTATAAGAACCAAATTTTGTATGAGGAAGTGAGTATGGGGTAGTAATGTTGATTTCTTTTGAAGAGTTTTTTTTAACTGTAGGAGTACTATAAGAAATATCTTCGAGACTTGAACTCCGATCTACACTTTGATCTATAACACTCTGTTCTATACTCACGTTAAATGGGTGAGAACTACTAAGTATCTGATGTTCCTAATAACAAAATATAAAAAAAAAAATACCTGGTTACTATTTAAATACACAATTTTGGCCAGTGCTTTATGAAAATAACTAAATTGGTAGGTATATAGTGGTATTATTAAATGCGATCAGTAATGTTTGAACAAATAAATTGGGATGTCGGACTGACACAAGCTCCAACCCATAGATAAGTATAATATAATAGATAGGCAACTCCCATGCTATAAAAACGAACCGTATTTCAGCGCTCCCGGCGGTTGTACAACACTAAAACAGCGATACGCCGCTACTATCAATAATCAAATAGTCAATGTTATCGATATTTTTCTTTTATTTTAAAAATTGTTGATTGTATGGCATAAAAAATGAATAAATTTAAAAACAGTAATAAATAAAAATAAATTATTTTCCAATAAGAGATCATATTTTATTATATATTATTAGCAATACAAATAATTTATTAAAAATACATGAATAATTAAATTAATAAATAATTTAAATAACAAGTAATTCAAATTTTATGTAATACAATTTTAGTGAAAATAATTGATACCAATTAATAGCAAAGGTAATGCTTTAAACAAAATACATGACAAGACAAAATAAATTAAATAATACATAAAACATCGTACATTCATACCTGATTGAACTTGCCACGAGGAATTGTCTTCTTTTTGTGTTTTGAATACCATTAATTTGCAAATATTTTAATATGATCTTTTTTTTATTGGATTGCATTTGTCGTTTTCCGCTTAATATCCGATTTTCCGTACACCAGTGGTTTATAAACAATTTGACAATTACACTCACTATTCTTTGTTGGAATATTTGATTATGGTTTGAACAACAATGTATTGTAGTTATATCAGATGTGTTAATGATTCCATCAACTAATAATTTATTGATGCTAGGACGATGACATTCTATTGACAAGCGTTCATTAATATAAATAATAATACTATGAATTAATGGACGAAACTGCAGAGACCGGTATTTTAAAGATGACCTTGATTGCTGGTACTCTCTTGCTACAATCAATCCTAGATCATCAGATGATAATTGACTGGAACAAACTTTATACAAACATTCTTTACAGCCTTTGAATATATCTTTGTTAAGTTTTTTTGCTAAATAAACAGCAATGTATGAGTAAGTTAAATTTGTTAGATTTTCAGTCTTTTCATTTAATGTTCGAATTTCAATTGAAGGTAAGTTAACAGCTGATATTATAGGTTTTGGACATTCTTGTACAAACAAAACAGATTCTTATAAGACATTAATGACCCTTCTACAAAATCTTCACAGTTTGCTCCAGGTGACTGCGATGAGAGAAGATTATTCAGAAGCAATGTCTTGTACGCTGAGATGAATGAGCCGCAAGTTGGATTGGTACATCCTAAAAACTTCGGACAGCGCCAAAAAAGTTTTCCAAAGGATCTTGATTTAATTGCCTTGGAAGTATTGATGTGATTCCTTTTGTTTCCAGAAACTTTGTCAATGTTTGAAATCCTATAAAATCATTATATTATTTACATTTTCAAATACATAATCCAATATACAAGTGAGAGAAATGTTAAATTAGTAGCCCTAACATTATTGATATATATATTTTTTTTATACATTTGCACTATATGTACAATGTACCAACCTTTAATTGTTGTCATCCAATTTTTTAAAGTAGGAATGTATTTTTCATTTACACCAACAAAATGCGTAGTCATCAAAACTTTTAAACTTTTTGACCAAAGTTCATGGTGAACTGAATCTCGTTTGATTGCTGTCCGATAAATTTTTCCTTCTATCACTTTATGATAAACTCCCATTCAAAGAATTAAACAACTGGTCGAAAAACAAAAATAATTTTGCTGTGTCGAAAGCATTGGATTCGATGATATTTTTTGCTGTGAACAATATTTGTTTTAATCAGTATTTAAACATGTGATATAAAATAACAGTACAACTTACAAGCAAGAAAATTCATGACTGCTGAAACCCTTTGACTAAACACTTGAGTGGCACATTTGACTTTCATTTTACTTATTTTATGTCTTACAACATGATTGTCAGTTAGCCTTGGCAACATTTTTGTATCTAGAATCTGGTTATCCTCTACATACAATTGTTCTAGATGTTTCCATTTAGCAACACGTTTTATACCATCCAACTCATAGACCAAATCTTTGGTAGTAATACATTGATACCAGACATAACACTGTCATCAAGATTCATATGATCAACTAGTATTAATAGAATAAATATTATAAAAGCATATTATGTTGAATAAGCAAGCATGAATCAAGTTTACCTGACAAAGTTTCATTATTTGATATGACATGTTTTTCTGGTGTACTATCAACAATATTTTCATCCGTTACAGAACCTGACATTTCTGGATCGCTCTGATGTATGGATATTGCAGCCTTAACACTAGGTTGACTAGGTTTTGAATTAGTACTACCTTAACCCCTTGAGTAACTTTTTAAAAAATGTTTGAAAACTTACTTTTTTTTTGAAAACCTTAATGTGCTAAACTAATCATATTAAAAAAAAAAATTTGAAAATTTTTTTTCAAAACTCACAAATACCTAAAAAAATGGTGGTCATTATACATGGCCACTACAAATGTTTTTTTATTAGATAATAAATTATATTATATTACATTATTATTATATTATTGTTTTTTGTGAAATGTTTCAAAACAGTTTTTCTCCGAAGTTAAACATAGTGCTACATTACATGTAGAACATTCCCACCTACTTCTTTTAGGGTTTTCTTTGGTAGAGCAGTTATGGCATCGACGGATTGTACAACTTTTTGGTATGTGTGCAACATTTGCAAAACGCATTTCTAGAGTTATTCTAACTTTGAAGTTGTGAGTTTTATTATTAAATGATTTTTGTTTTCCTCTTGGTGATGTAGTTGGAATTCCGACTAAACCAGCAACTACAGCAAGTTTAAAATCCTTCAAAGGAATATTCCTCCCTTGACATTTTAATTTAAATAATATATAAGAGTTAGTCACAGCAACATCTAAGAAGTGAAAGAATATTCTATGCCACCACTTGTTGTTCTTTCGATCAATCTCATAGTATGATTTCATCATATCTGCATAATCAACATATCCCATATTCTTATTGTAATCCTTCACCATTGTAGGGCATGTTATGCTTGCTGATGATCCATCTTTTGCTTTCCTCAAGCAACTGGTAAGGTGATCTGGATCGTGATAGTTTGAGAGGAATTGTATTGGACGATTATCTTTCCATTTGATCCATGACACATTTGTGGTTGATACTCTTCCCTCACTATCACCTCTTTTCATTTGTTTATCATTCAACTGGTTTATAGGAGTCATTTCCTATTACCTCTCACAGTTCCACAACAATTAACTTAAGTGAAAAAATTATCAAAAAAAAACTCTGTGGTACTTTCCTTGTATTTTATTGGTAAGAGTTAGTATTACACGTTTTCCCAAAGAACTTTCAACAGAATCTGTTTTCCCAGTATATATTTCAAACTCACTTATAAACCCATTTTGATCAGCCCGTACCCAAATCTTGTATCCTCTTTTTATGGGCTTCATCGGCATGTATTGTTTCATAGTACTGCGCCCCTTGAACTTTATCATGCTTTCATCGATGGATTGAAACTCATTTGGGTTCATTCATTGTAAAAAAGTTTTGGAAAGATGATCAAGGTAAGGCCTTACTTTATACAACTTGTCATAATTTTGTTCATATCGACGGGGTTCCAAATTATTGTCTTTAATGTGTAAATTTGATAAACACCATTGAAATTTTTTTAATGGCATTAAAGATACTATGTAGTTGTCCCTTAGTTGTATGTTAGCAGACCAATAGTCTTTATAAGATGGAAGATTTTTTATACCCATTGCAATATTAATAGCCAAAAATGTTTTCATAGTAGCAACATTGATAGGCCCAAAAGCTGTATGTTTTTGCTGAGCATAATAATTTGTATGAAATACTAAATTGTCAACTAATTCATTAATAAAAATGCAGTGGAAAAAACTTATAGGGTCATCGATGTCATTTGGTATATTTGGTCCACCTTTACCAAGGAAATTTTTAGGCTCAGCAATATAGCCATGATTTTCCCAAATCCCTTCTATGTTAAATGTTTAGTAATCTTTCCGATAAAGGTACATCTTCTACACGTCTTGCCTGTACAGTAACATCATTTGACTCCTATAATAATGGAACATTATAAATACTATAATAGTGTAATAGTTTACATAAAAAATAAATTGTTTCCTTCTAAATGGATTTCTTACTTAATCAATATCAGTTGAATTTGAAAAACAATTTGAATGCTGTGTTATATGTTCATCATTTGGTACATTAATTAAAATATAATCTAAAAGCTGTGGTTGATGTAATAGGGAGCTTGAATATCATTATCCTTATAAAAAAACATATACATTTTTAACATCATATAATTAAAACATAAAATACATATAAAATACCTCTAAAATATCTGTAATGTCCTCTTCGAAGTCAGATTCATCTCCTAAGATTGATTCTTGATCACTTGGTATAGATTCAAATAGTTCAAACAGGTCATCATGTGTAAGCTGGTCAATGTTTATTAATTTATGATCCATCGCAGTGGTATCGTATTGAGACCACCTACATTTTCAATAAATAATATAAAATGAATACATATTCGGCCAAATCGATTATAAAATTAAATAATATACATACTTACAAGTACAAAAATGCTTAGTTGAAGAAAATCCGTCAACACATGTATTATTAATTAATAAATCGTTTACGAAAATTCACGTCAAAAAAAATAAATAACGTTGATAACACAATAACTGAAATTATTATCAGCCAACTAACGTTGGAGGGAAAATTTTTTTTTATCGTTGAGAGTGTGACCAACTGCACCGATTGACGGTAGTTTCAATAAAATACCACTACGACGAAACGAGCAAAAAAATATTAGAAAGGTGGTCTCAATTATGTACCACAACGACTCAACGGGTAATAACCAACATTATTATTAGCCATTACTGGAAATATTATACCCAAACTCTTATCTATTAAAAATCTATTAGACATTAACTTACGAACAGGCACAGCACTTTGTATTTTACTTTAATAGTATCAAGAATACTTCAAATAACTTGTATGGAATTACTTTTTAAAATTCAAACGAATTCTTTATCAGTTGTCACATATTTTTTTTTTTTTGAAAGATTGTTAGGATTTTCACTATTGCTAACAAAATGATTCACCCCACCCCCTTCCTTCACCAATCCCACCAAAATAAGGTCCCAGATACGTGCCTGCTACAAATAACAATAAATTATGCCATATTTTAATTTTTCTTACAATATTCAAAAATATCAATATTTGTAGGTAGGTAGGTACCTGGTAATAGTAATGTTGGACAAGATTTTTCATTCAGTCTCTTAGTACCAGGACAAAACACTGTTCATTAAAATGATTATTGCATATAAATTTCTTTTTATAAACATCGTTTGGATCCATTTCGTTCAAACCAACTAAATCAATCCATTTTTTTAATCTCAGAAAGTCCGTTCTGGGATTGGGAAATCGATGAACAACAATACCTATAATAATAAACATCAATAATACATTTAATGTATGTACATTATAGAAATTAGGTTATTTTGGGTTATGTATAATATATTATGTATATTATGTTCATAGGCTTGCTCACAGGGCAAGCCGGTCAAACTTAGGCTCAACTTGAAACTTTTCAGGGGTAAAATGTGCGTATATATTGTATTAAACTGCTTGTACTATAATAATATGTTTCTGGAGATCATGGACATTTTATTTTTCGTGAAAGTATAATAAAATCAAAACTATTTGTGTGTACCATTATATGCACATTTTATTAATCAAACAAAAACATTATATCTACCTTTATACAAATACAATAACTATAGTACTATAGACATTAATAGGTTAATACATCAACATGTATGAAGATGTGTTAAAAAAAAATTAGGGGCACTGTCCAAATATTAGGGCACTATAATTGCCTAGGTTCGACCAGAAATTTAAGTCTGCGCACGCCGATGATTATGTTTATATAACAATATTACTAACTTAAAACTATAAATTCCATTGTACAATAAACACCTACAAAATGTCAAATTTAGATCTTACATCAACACATTTCAAAGATAACTTATCTTATCTTTTTAATATAAATGAAATGAAAATGGAAATACCCAGTCTTCTGTAATATTACTATAAGGAATAACGAATCATTTTTTGAAGAATAATGACTATAAAATAACTCTATTTAAAAAGCATGTTGAATAAAACATTTAAATAATACCGCTGTGGAAGCCAACCGATACACACGCGTCTCCGTGCGCTCCTCTCGTAACTAATTATAATCGCCCTCATAGTGTTCACTGTCCAGCGACAGTGAGTAAATCTTAGTCGTACCTTAGAGTTTCTTTATTCCCAACCTACCTGCAGTGTTTTTTTTTATGTTAAACTTAATAACGTTGCTTATAAGCTTTTCAAAATCGTCGTTTAATAACCTCACATAAGTTCGCCGTACTCACACTACTAAGTATTACGCAATGGCAATAGTGCATACGAATTCTCCTTATCTGCGACCGCCATTAGGCGGTTTAGATAAACAAACACACGCCGCCGCAGTTAATTATGAATAATATTAATAATAAAGCTAATCAGCAAATTGGTAAACAAAAAACAACAACGTCCAGTCAGCCAAATAATTCAATCCCTTATGCTTCTAATTCCAAATATGATGTCGCAACTTCAAATAAAAATCCAATTGAAAATTCTACTTTCGTTACAAAACAAGGTAAAAGAAATCTCTCTTCATCTTCTCAAACCTCATCGACAAGCAATCAGGTCAATAATAAATCTCAAAATATTATAAAAAAAAAAACCAAACTGTTTAAATCAACAAATCGGTTTGAAATCCTAAATCAACTTGGTGAGCCTGACCTAAACTCGTCTTCGCAACAGCTGCCTTTCGAACAAAATAATGAAATCTCAGACGAAGTATTCAAACCACCGCCTCCTATTTTTGTAAGGGGCGTGGATAGCTACTTAGACGTATGTACAGCTTTAATTGAATTAATTGGTGTAGACAATTTCTTCTGTAAATCGTCTGCTGGCCGTTTAAAAATACAAACATCGAATCCCGAATCATACAGGGTATTTATTCACTTTTTAAAAGAACAAAAAGCTGAATTTCATACTTATCAACTTAAGCAAGATAAACCACTCCGTGTCGTCTTACGTAACCTTCATCCAACCACCAATGTAGACACAATTAAAGAAGAACTCGAAGTTCAATTGTTTGAAATAAGAAGTGTTACAAATGTTCTCCACAAAGTAACAAAAATTCCACTTCCGCTATTTTTCGTAGACTTAGAGCCATCAATTAAGTCAGCTGAAATCTTTAATCTGTCCTCACTGTTACACACGAAAATCAAAGTTGAAGAGCCCTACAAATCTAAAACAATCAGCCAATGTACAAATTGTCAGGAATACGGACACACAAAAAACTACTGTGGATACCCCCCACGCTCCGTCCGCTGTGGCTCAAATCACTAGTCCCCTGACTAACCAAATCAACGCTCGGATCCACCAAAGTGCGCTCTCTGTGCAGGCGATCATCCTGAAGGCTGAAACTTACAAAGGCTGTCCCATCTACAAGGACCTCCAGCGTGCCAAAAAAACATACACCAAAAGTAACTTTGTTCCAACTAACACTAGATTTAATACCACAACTGTTAGAGATAGTCATCCATTAAATGACACCCACCCAATTCAGCTCGATCGTAATTCCCCCACCTATGAGCAGGCTACTTCTGGTAAGTCAGCTATTAACTCAACTCCTTCAACAGGTGCTGATTTGTATTCTACTATCACAAACTTCCTTGAGGATTTCAAATCACTGAGAAATCCTCTAATATCCCTACTCACCAAAGTAATCGAAAAACTTCTTGCTAAATAATATGTCAGATAAAGCTACAAAAAAATCACTTTTAATTCTTCAATTTAATGCAAACGGAATAAAAAATCACCTCAACGAACTCCAAACAGTTCTATACAATTCACGAATTGACTTAGCACTAATTACCGAAACCCATCTCACCAAATACTCCAACATTTATATACCTGGGTATAAGTTTTTAAAAACTGATCATCCTGATAACACGGCTCATGGTGGTGTCGCTATTTTCATAACAAATTCTATTCAATTTCAACCTCTTCCACATTTTTGTTTTGATTATTTACAATCCTGTGCCCCCTAATCTTAAAGTTAAATAATATTCCTATTACTATTGCAGCCATCTACTCTCCTCTAAAAGATAAGATAACAATTCAAAATTATACTAATTACTTTAACTCAATTCATAACAATTGCACAATAGGTGGTGACTTCAATGCAAAACACTATTCCTGGGGTTGCCGTGCAAACAACCCGCGTGGTCAAGTTCTTCACAATTTTGTAACTAGAGGAAATCTAAAGTTCTTGCTCCACCAGGTCCAACTTATTGGCCGACCTCAGCTCGTAAAAACCCAGATATTCTAGATATTTTCATTACAAAAATCCCAAACAACATTCACTGCACTACGGAGAATATATTCGAATTAAATTCTGACCACTAATAAAATCAAATTTCATGACATTGTCGACCAACAAATTAAATTAAACATTAAATTAAAATCCTATGACGACCTGGATCTAGCTGTTAACAATCTCACAAACCTCACTCAAACTGCAGCTTGGTCATCTACAGTCACCTCTCTCAACCCTTCTAAGATTCCTACTATACCAGTCCACATTCGCGAAATCATTGTTGAAAAACGTAGGTCAAGGGCTCTTTACCAACGAACCCGTCTGCCTTCACACAAGCAAAAATACAATAAACTTGCCAACCATCTAAAAAAATTGTTAGCTAAATTCAAAACAAAATCTCTTGTGGGTCATCTCGATGGTAACTTTGCTATATCTGACATAGATAAAGCCGAACTGTTCAAACTCCATCTATCTGCAATTTTTCAGCCTCACCCTGATATTGCCTCTCCTAATAACATCAATTCCGTGGAAGAGTTTCTAAACTCCCCACTACCAGTAGCTCACCCTGTCAATTGAAGATTTGAAGGAAAACTTATGGAAAATTTAGTGTTGATTTTTTTACCTTAAATATTTATACGAATATTTTTATAAATTTTCAATTATAAAATTACTTGTAAATTTTCGCAATTTTGACGTATTTCATAAAAATTTTAACTTTGAATTTTGTTAAAAACACACATCATTTTATTGATTTATTTTCAAATTTGGACTAAATTAGATATCTAAAAATTATTCTTTGCACTTCTATAGTACCTACATCTATTATCATTATACCACTTAATGACTTTTTCAAAATTTTTACTTAAGTATATCTAACAAGAACTTAATTACACCCAAGGCTGACAATTCGCCTTTGCTCAGAATCGTTTTTCGTATACAATGATTGAAATGATTGAAAATTAAATTAAAAATTAAATCATTGAATTCAAATTTAATACCTTTCATTACAGTAATTCAATCACCTACAGTACAGCAGAGAAGTATCTACTTGGCCATCTCCAAAATATATATATATATTTTTTTTTTTGGTGAATTTTAACATTTATTTTCATAATACACAATTTTTCTAGTTTAAAAAAAATATAAAAATTTAATGCAAATTTATGTTTAAATTAATTTTTAAGCATATTTTAGTGATTTTAGTTCAAAATGCATTTTCTGGGAGGGCATTTTTTTGATATTTTCAGGGAATATAGATCGGAGTCCTAATTGTTGTTATAATAGATGTATGTTTATTACTGTATACAAGATGTTGCATTTAACATAATGTATTTATTATTCCAAAACTATTAGGAATTTTAGAAGCTACTAACTCTGTTTGGAATGACATTAGAGAATTATTATCTTCTCGTATGACAGTTAAAGCAATACATTTATTCGTGTACGAAGGTAGGCATGGAATTTGGGAAATGCTTAGTTTGCCTAACGTTCCAAATGCTACTACTTGTACACCATTTCAAAACCAGTTAACAACTACTGAAGATGGTAATAGTTTGAAGTATTTTTGTATTGAATAGTTGATTTTTTCTAAGATGATTTTGTAAATTTTGCATAGATTATTACAGTAGTAGTAATAGCAACAGTGATGAGAATTCGGATATGCCTTCGAAAAAATTTGTAATAACTTTTTCAGTAGAAGAGTGGTGTGAAATACAGCCGCAGGAAGTGCGTTATAAAACAAAGGATCCATCAAGACCCATATAAAGTTCAAAGTTTGTATTTAATATTTTTATCTCAATATTATTTTAAGTCAGAAATCTGGTTATAATTATAAATTTAGGTGTTATTATGCTTTGCCAAAATTTAATTGGACACCAGTAATTTCTGAACACTTCTGGGAACATACGCGGTTAAAGTGTTGTTTAGCATTTCGAAGAGCAAAAGTAACTCCAGGTGGAAAACATTATGATGGAAGGATTAAAAATAAAAAGTGTACACACCTCAGGGTATCACCCTGAAAGCAATCCTGTTGAACGAACTAACCGAGAAATTGGGCGGTTACTCCGCACCTATTGCCACAAACAGCACACCAATCGGCTACGTTGGTTGGAATTTGGTTGGAATATCGAATTTTGGATCAACCACACAACGCATTCGTCCACCGGTTACACACCACAATACATACTGTTTGGACGAAACACACCACTGTCAATCACAAAATTAGTAGCGTTCCCAAAATATGAAGCTACTGACCCTGCCCCAGACATCATCCAGATCGCCATGAAGAAAACTCAGAAACAGGCACAGTTGCGAAACAAATACAAGGATAAAGATAAAGCTTTCCCAAAGTATGAAGCAGGGATGAAAATCCTTGTCAAGGAAAATAGATTATCTTCTGCTGAGACCCACAAATTATTTTTACTATACCATGGGCCGTACCAAATTTGCGAAGTACACGAAACAATACTGTCGCGATACGCAATCAGGCTGGAACCCAGCGCACGTATAATTTAAAAATATCAAGCGGTATCATGAAGCTGAACCACCAGCTTGTGTACTAGTCAGTTCAGAACATTGACAAACCTAAAAAAAAAAAAAAAAAATGTAAATATGTAGATAGATAAAAAGAAATGTGACTAACCACTTTCATGTTCTGCCTGTGACACGAATAGAATAAATTATACACCATGTAATTAACACACCCATCCAAAGGAGAAAGAAAAATGGATCTTTACGTGCATGTCTCGTTGGGAAAAATCCGAAGCACCAAACCAATCAACAAGATAGATCTTACGCACATCGACTAGCACCTCAACAGTGAGCAAAATAAGTGAGTAGCAAAGTTTTTCCGGGAGGAGGCTGCAAAGAGAACTAAATATGACGTAGAACCTACATGGACAATGCCAGAGTCAGTGTTGGCAGTAAGAAAGAAAGATGTCATCAATATCCAGCCTGAGATCACGGAAGACGAAGAGAAAGAACCAGCGCAAGCATCACCAACCAGTACCATAGTAACCGACAGTGATGAGCTGGAGCCAGGAGAAGCGGACACGTTAGAAATCGCCACATATCCGCTCCCTGAAAGTGATAGCGAACAGGAATCTAGCAGCCCTGGAGACGTGCCCTAACCTAACCTAACCTGAGACAGAACTCTTAAAAGGCACCGTGCAGACCTTGTGGAAGAAGAACCAAAGTTCATACAGCAACCTCAAAGAAAACCTATTCATAGCCAAGAAGTTCATGAAGGAATTCAGAGAGATGTCCAAAAATCAGATGAAAAAACAAATGTATAAGGAGAAGACAAAGCAAATCAAGGCCTTGAAGCGCCAACATCAACAATAATCTCCAGATTCCACATACCCAGCCAATCAGTTTTTATTTTCGCAGAATATCTCATGCTTCATTATTCATGCGATAATAAAAAGGGGACTATGTAACGGGATAAAACCCATTTAGGTGGCGCACTCTGTTTGACCGTTACCCAACCAGTCCGCCCAACCGCCGCACACTAGATCGCGCAGACGCATGAATTCTATGACGGTACGCCGCCCTCAACCTTAAATTCCATAACTAAAAAAAAAACCTAAACTTAAAACCAAAATGCCCACATATTTAGAATCACTGAATTTTAACCTACATGTATGTATTTTGAAAGGGTTTTAATATTCATTTAAACACTTGTAATCACAAGGGGCACATTTCAAAATCGACCTACCACGCGATTGCATGCAATAGCATAAATATAGGCCGTGGAGACGGCCTAGACCATCTGTTTGTCCCCGCTGAGTGCGGTGAATGTTTAAGCCGGACGATACTTTGTGATCGTTAGACACGGATACAATCACCATACTAACAACAGCACCACTCCCTGGCCCTCCCTACGATGTATATACGAATAAATACATATATGATGATTATACAATATAATACAAATTGCATAATGCATTTTAATTTTTCACGATTAAATATAAAATAATATAAAGAGTAAAAAATCAAAAAAAAATCGCATAACGCATCTTCACAAATATATATAATATGATGAGTAAAAAATATAATAAAAATCGTATAATGCATTTTAATTTTTCACGATTAAATATAAAATAATATAAAGAGTAAAAAATCAAAAAAAAAATCGCATAACGCATCGTCACAAATAAATATAATATGATGAGTAAAAAATATAATAAAAATCGTATAATGCATTTTAATTTTTCATAATTGAATATAATATAATATAAAAAGTAAAAAATATAATAAAAATGAAAACTTATATTTTATGAGGTTTATTTCTATAACTTAATAATTTAACATAATCGTATTGATTTATTTTGCTTGTTCTATAATCTGAAATTTTTTCATTTATAAAATCTTCTTTTTCGGCGTATTTTTTTACTGATTTTTGGTTTTGGGTTATTAATTGTAGTTCTTATTTTTATATACGTATTTACTTGAAAAAGTTTGAGAATTTCAATAATTTTAAAAATATTTGGATGTTGGTGATAAAAATTAGAGTTAAAATCTGAATGAAAACTTTCACAAGCGTTTGTCGTATGGACTCTATCAGAACATTGCCGCGCCCACATTTTCGGAGGAAAGATTGATTCATTTGATATATAATTGTCTACCAAATAATCACAAAATTCGGTTATAGCTGCATTTTCAGGTTTGTCTGCCATAAAATATTCTGTAAAACATTCTGCCACTTCCTCTGGATTGAGAAAGGGAAGTCCAAAAATATGTACCAACCATTTTCCTACATCGTCATTTGCAGAATTAAATTGTGGTGCGTAACCTAAATTTTGAATTTTGCGGTACCAAGCTTGGCCCAAATGAAAACGACATCCAAACACCTCTGTTTCCGTAAAAATTTCAAAAACTGCTTGATGCATTGCTATTTCAAAATCTAAAATAATTTTTTTAGGTATTACTCCAGCTATTTTTATTGTTTTCAATAATGCAATGTAAGTCTTTTTTTCTTTATTTGGCAATAAACAAAACATTAACGGAATGTGTACTCCATTTTTAATGCCATGAATCGTGTATAATTGCGTATAATATTTATCACTATAGTTAAAAGTACCATCCATATATAAAACATCTAATTCTTTTAACAAATCTATATTTGTTTGACATGAAAAAATAACTATTTCATTTAGCGCATCATTTTCATATAAAAATAACTCATCTCTATTTGTTTTTATGTCTAATAAACTTAATATTTCGTGAACTTCTTTTCTTGATGTTGGCAGTTTGGGGAAACAATGCATCCTTGCATTATGAATATTTCTTGCTATGAGTTTTAAGTCGGGTGCAATCAAATCTCTTTCGTTGGCATAATTTGATACTTCTTTTCGTATTATTTTTGACGGTTTTTCAACTATAGAGTCTACAGCTTTTCTTTTGCAAGCATTGCTTATTTGTTGCCGATTTAAAGTGCTATCACTTGCATGGCTGTGATCAAAACACGATTTATCTGTATTAATTAATTGGGCATTTTGACCCAAAGTATAAACTTTTGCACTACACTTATTTATAACACAACGCCACGTAATTTAATTTTTTTTAGATGTATGATGCTTAAAAAATTTAAAATTATTCAAAACTAGTAGTTGTTTGCCTTTTTCACTTAACATGAATGATACATTCTCGCTCATTGTGAATTTGTATAACTGTATATGATTAATATAAACGGATATGTACGGACACTCAGATGTTTCGAACAATACTAACAAAACTTTTAAGAGAAATAACTAGATGTACATTTTACTGTGTATAGTTATAAGACATATAACTAATTTTAAGATTATCAAATCAAAATCAAGTTCTGTATCATTTTTATCGATGATGAAAAGTCATAAATATTTTGTATGTCAAAAATATAGATAATAAGATATTTTATCTTTTTCCTTACGTCGAGTCGGTATAGGGGATAATATTATCAGCTTGTAGCTTGTCGTATTTTCCAGTGATTTCGTATATACATTTATAAGTATTATTTATAAGTATATTTGAATGTAGTTACCTATATTAAATATCTATACCAGCGTATAAAGTTTCAATAACAAATCTAATTATTATATGCTTATTTGTGAAAATATGTTATGCGATTTGTATTATATAATATATAATCATCATATATTTATTTGTATATACATATTTACACATATATACACATATAGGTACACTTACATATGTACCTTTTTCCGCCGTGTAGGAACTAACATAGATACCTGGTTTTTACCGTGTAGGAACTTACATGCGTATCTTTTTCCGCCGTGTAGGAACTAACATAGGTACCTGGTTTTTACCGTGTAGGAACTTACATGCGTATCTTTTTCCGCCGTGTAGGAACTAACATAGGTACCTGGTTTTTACCCTGTAGGAACTTACATATGCCGGTGTAGGAACTAACATATGTAATTGTTTACCTGCTACTCTCGTGTAGGAACTTACTATTCCCCAAACTGTCTGTAGATCGATAATCATCTATACGTTTAAGGTCGTTTCACATTAACGATACGGTTGCGGTCCTGCGATGGATAAAATGTAATATCTATATTTATATTATAAATTATTATTGCTGGTTTTCGCATTTCTTATTAATTAAATAAACATTTTTTTTTATAATTATGACATAAGAAACATAATATAAAAATTCCACAGCTAGAAAAACTGAAAAAAGCAATAATAAAGCAAAAAAACCATTTACACAAAAAAAAGCAAAAATAAATTAGTTTATTTGGAATCAGAATGATATGAAACGAATTTATATATAAAAATTAAATTTATAGCTTATATATATATATATAAAGAATCATTTGCTTTAAAATCCGAGCCCTATTTATTATAAGATTTTGAATCAATACTTACCTATTATCATTTAATCTCCGAGTTCATACATTAGGGTTTTGGGTTTTATAATAGATTGAATGTATTTTTTTATTTTTACAGATTTATTACCTCAACCCACCTATTGAAATAATAGGTAATGACATCTCAATGGAAAAATGCGATACTACAATGGGTAATGTAATAAATATTTTTCTAAAAGATCTGCCTACCTTGAAGGATTTTGTCACATGTACTAATCACAAGTGTAAAAAGACAACAGTGACGTCTATACCGATTCCTTATATAACGGTCAATGTTAAAAATGATAATCTTGATGAATTAGAAAATATGGTTAATCTTCGAATAAATAATGAAACTACTTTATGTGGTCATGTTGATGATCTGAAGAGTCCATGTGCCGGTTATAAAACGATTAGAACAGATGTTTCTAAATTACATATATTTATAGAACTATTATATTGGAATGGTAAGTAAATCAAAATATTCTTTAGAATAATTATTAGTGATGGGCAACGATATCGATAATTCGATACGATATCGATATCGTGACAAATTTCCGACATCGATATCGCTTTTGTATTGTACGATACATCGCGATATCGAAAATAATATTTTTCGAGAAAAATACATGGTATTTACTATGTAATACAAGACATGAATTCAAGACAATATTAAAATAAAATAATTATGAATTTATTTTCTAGGATACAGCTATTGGGGTTGAACACATTTAAGGAGAAGTCAAAAAGGGTTAACATAAAATATAAAAATTTAAAACAAATGTAACAAAATGTATAACAAATTTATTGTAAATAAAAATAACTAAGTATTAAGTAATAAATAACTAATAACTAATAAAGTAATAAGTATGTATGTTAAATGTGTACGATGTCGGTGTACCAATAATAAACAATAAATATTAATTAGCTTAATAAAGTAAATTCCTTAGTGTGATATATATTTAGAAATTTAATTAAATTAATACGAAAAGTTTTTTTAATTGTTTAGGTAAACATAAAATTATATTTATGATACGATATCGATATCGTAGAAATAACGATATCGCGATAAAATATCGGAAAAATCTGAACGATATCGATACAGAAAATTATATCGTTGCCCATCACTAATAATTATTATTGATTAATAAAAAATTATTTCGTATCATATTGAAGATTGTTATTTTATTTTTCGAAAACATTTAGTTTAGTAAATTTAATTCCATGAATAACAACAATTATGTTTATTGCTTTTACTTTTAGATGACGATATCGACTCTACGTTAGGTTGCACCTCAGATCATGGTTGTGTTAGAAAAAATACCAGAAGTCTTATCTATTAATGGTACAACATATGAGTTAAGGGGTGTCTGTTGTTACCACGAAGGAATGAGTCGACTTCAAAGTTCAGTAGGGCACTACACTGCACATTACACTATTCATTAGTTCTTTTCTAATAATTTTGATAGGTCGTGTTGAAATTCCATCTTCTGCTTGTCTTTTACAATTTTCTCGCAAAATTTGTCGTTCTATTTTCACTAGAGAATTAGATTCATGCGTATGTTCACCAATAATATTTACAATAGACGTCTTATGCCCATCAGTAACTATACTTGCGTAGCAAGTTTTAACTGTGCAAAGCCATTTATGCATTCCGTCTTTACGTGTTCTTACATGCCTATACTTATTAAAATTTAAAAGAACTAACTGTTTGCCTTTTTTGGATTGAATTAATTGAATTTTATTTTCCATGTTACTAAATTTTGGTATAATCGGTATACACATCACTCAACGCACTACAATCATCAACGATCGACTAAAACTCAGAAAATACCGTATAACATAACGGAAATAACGATATTTCGTTATATTTGATATAATTATAACAATAAAGGTAGGTAGTAAAAGCGATAAAAGTGATAAAACGCAATGTATAGACATGTGCAAAAATATGCGAAAAAAGGAAATCTTACAGAATAAATCAACGAAAAACCCAAAAACCAGCAGATATATAATACGAAATTATCCTAATAGTAAAGGTATTATACCTATATATTATCGCTGTAATTGAGCGACGTTCTATATATATTTCATAAAATGTTATTTTACAATATTAATTAATATAAAATAAGTGAAATCTACTAAATTTTCAAAAATTACAAATTAATTTCAACTTAAAGTAGTCCCTGTACTCAAGGTCTATCAGACCCCCCCGTGTGGGGGCTCTGTATACCGGTATGAAAATCGGCAACAACGCTTAAAACTTCGTACTCAATCGTGTAGTTAAAAATCGGGTAAAATCGTACGGAATGGTGTTGCTTAAAAAGGTATTGCCGATAACAACGTACGCAATCGTGTTCTACCCGGGTCGCGCGTACCAGCGACCGGCCGAGCAGAGCGCACGTCGTAACCCGCATGTTGGGTAACGACCGCGACAACTCATCACTTGAATTATTATTCAACCCACATCATCCACGCGGCACCCCACAGGACCGCATCAACTTCTAGAGAACTTATATTTCTTAATACCTAACTAATAATAATAATTTATTCATTGATTCACAACAAATTACAAACAATTACCAGTTACCAATTACCATACCCATTGTAGTATAAATACCAAGCCATTTTAATCATACTTTCAGAAATGAAAAGCAATTTTCATTAATTTTATTTTCATATTTTAGATGATCAATCAGCTGTTCAAAATTTGAAATTTTTAGCTGTAAACTATAATTTTGTATCCTTAGTTTTTTATAGGAGATACTTGTTTTCATTGGAATTTTTAAAATAATAGAAGCAATAAATAATTTCTGTCGACTATTTAAACTTTCTAAGTCATCTACACTTTTGAAATCTTCAACATCGTGCTTATGTTTCCTAAAAGTACATAAAAAACAATAACAAAAATAAATGTATTAAAAAAAAAAAAAATGGAACATGCCTTGGTTGAGGAGGAGTGATAAATGAAGGAGTTAACTCAACATCAGGAGGTGGAAATTTTTCATTTGCAATGTTGACTTCTGCTAAAATTAAAATTTTAGATCTTACAATTTATATAATCACAATGTAAGTAATTAGGTTAGGGTATATATTAGTAATGAGGTATATATTATTTACTTGTTATGTTTTGAGACAACTTTAATGTGGATTCTAGAGCGGGTTTACTTGGCAAATGTTTCTCAAATACTAATATAAAATTGATAAAATACAATTTAATCATTATAAAACATAATATTTATAGTTAAGTATTAAAAAATTATTAAATTACACTGTATCTATGGTAAGTTCTTGAGCAGTTGAAGAACAAAACTTTGGAGACATTAAGCTAGTAGCTGAAATTACCATATGTTTGATAAGTTTGGAACATTTGTAATATAGTAAAAATACAAAAAAATGATAACTTATATGGTGTATTATGAATCGTGTTATCTTCATAAACTTCAATGACTTCAATCATAGATGAAACTAGTAAAAAATTATATAATTCATGTTTATTATTATTATGTTTATATAATCGACATATTTGTATTAATTTTTTTACCCACTAATACAGTACCTACAAGTTTTTTGTTAAGCACCATTTTCTTCTTCGTTTTATCTTATTATTATAAATGTAATTATTACAATATTTATATAATTGAAAAAGTAGTAATTGTTTTGCTCAGTAGTAAAAGAGTGGAACAAGTGTAGGTACTTTACCACCCCATGCAAATTTTTCGATTTTTTTTTTTTGGAGTTTTTGTAGCTCATCGAGTTAAGAACGATGGTGCAACCCGAATTTGTCGCACTCGCTTAGTTTCTTAGTTATGGCCTTCCAAAGTTTTCAATTTTACGTTTATACGCATGCGCGCATTAGGTACTACTTTAATGCCGCGAGGAGGACTATTTTTGTTATTTTTTTGTACTTACGTATTCTAACCTGTTTAAAACGGTGGTCAATAATAATTTATCCCCCGAATTGCTATGAAACACCTCCCCAAGTGGGTCACAGGGTTAAGAAAATTGCATTTTTGTTGCACCGAGACACCGAACGGGGTCAGTCGCTCGCTGCGCTCGCTCGGACAATTAAAAATATTCCTCTTCTGGAAGTAGAAATAGTCAATCTGGTTTAAATAAATTCTCGCATTATACCTATAGACTATAGTAGGAACCTACCTGATAATAAATAATTATAATAATCATTCAATTATAAATACGATTTTAGATTATATTATATTATTAAAGAAACTATATTTGAATACACAATTAAAATGTCATTACGTCAAGTGCTGCGTTCTAGTGAAGTTAACAGAGGTTAACTCTTAGTCCCGTGTTTTTTCACTCGTTTATTTTTTATTTAGTATGGAAGCATATAATGTAATTAACATTTTCAAAATGTTTAACTGTGTGTTAAGTGATCCTCTCAATTCTATAATTGTCGAGCAGCTCCAGAATTGGCTCCTTATTCCAAAAGAAGGGGACTATTTATGTCCTAGAGGGCATAAATTAAAACTATTAGCACGAAGTCATGTTAAAGATGCATATTCTTGGAGGTAAATTAGATAGATATACACATATTGAATGATACTATTCACCATAGGAATAAATTCTATAGTAATTAGGTATATATATATCAAATATATTCTATTTCTAAATGCCTTGAAAAATACATGGATCGGCATAAAAAATCGAGTAGATGAGAATACGAGGTTTCAATAAGGAAAAACACATTTTTCTCAAATTCTCAATTGTCAATTGCCAAAATTATTTTGTTAACTTATCTATGGATAAAACAAACCAACCAGACGTTCATTATGGAAGAACTAAGCATAAGTAAACATACAATGGTTGATTGGGCTAATTTTTGTCCTGAGGTTACTTTTGATCACATGATTTAAAAAAAAAACTTAAATCGGAGGTGATTTCGTTGAAGTCGAAGTTGATGAAAGTAAATTTGGCAAGCGCAAATACCACAGAGGTCATCATGTGGAAGGCCAGTGGGTATTTGGAAGTATTGAACGGGGTACTAATCGATATTTTTTAGTTCCCGTTGAAAAAAGAGATAAGGAAACGTTACTTCAAATTATAAAAGATTGGTTTCTACCAAATACTACGATCATTTCTAAATTGCTGGAAAGTATGTATTTTAAAAATAATTATGAATACAAAATTATTTCATTAGGTACTATTTTTAGGCATATGATTGTTTGAATGATGAAGGTTATAAGCACTTTAAAGTTAACCACAGCATTGACTTTAAAGATCCAGATACCAATCAGTACACAAACACGATCGAAGGACTATGGCGACATGCGAAATATTCACTGCCCCAATATCATAAAAATAAAACATTTATAGCTGGATATCTTTCTAAATTCATGTTTTTAAAACAATGTAAGGCTTTAAATATCGATCCATTCATCGAGTTTTTAAGAATTGCAGGTAGTCTTTACAACCCAATTACGGCCGCATACGTTGATAATGATGATAATGAGGATGAATTAAGTGAGAACATATATTTAGATATTATATTATATAATTAATACCTATTAATAAACTAATTTAATTATTAAAAGTAATTGTGTGTTCTAATATTTGTAAGTCCAAAATTAAATTATTGTGCCATAAGTAACAACAACAACATAGGCTTAAAAATAAGTAATAGGTTCTCATTAACAGTGGCGGTTTTGGGGGTGAGGCAAGTTAGGCACCGCCTAACCTACAATTTTAAGTAAAAAAAAGGTGGGCAAGTGGGTGTCGCTCTGCTGTACAGTAGATTACAAGTGGGTCACTGTTTAATGGATGGTATTAAATTTGAATTCAATGATATAATATCATTGTATAAGAAAAACGATTCTGAGCGGTGATGGTATATGTCAGTCTATGTATAAGGCATATTATATACATATCTATGGTATTAAACAAAAAATTGACCTATAATAGGTACCTATAATAAATTCCAAATTAATCATATCACAATATCCATTAGATACTTATAACGCGTTATACATCAACAAAAACCGTGATACTATCATAGATATATAATAGTACACTTTAGAAGTTTCAAGTACCCACGAATAATATTATTCAATCACAACAAAATAACTAAAATCGTAATTCTTGGTTTAAATATGAAATTTTGTCTAAATTTGAAATTAAAATGTCTGTAAAAAATAAGTGTGTTTATATATTTTTTAGATTTTTTGGTTACAGTATGAATTATTTAAGAGAACCTTTGTTTTAAATTTTCAACTCTTAGTTATAAAAACTGAACATTTTATAATTTTTTAATTCCAACGATTGATAATTTTCGAGATTTTGATAAATGTTGTCAAAATTCCAACTTTAAATGCTTATAAAAAAAAATCGTGCCTATGTATTTTTAATATTTTTTCAACTGATATTGTAACAATATATCAGGAGCCTTGTATTAAATTTTTACACTTTTTGGCCCAACAGATAAAACTTTATTGATATTTATAGAAAAAAAAACTAAAAAAAATTGAAAGCTGTAAATGTCCATAAACAGCTCAAAAAGAGTCAAAATATTTTCAAAATTGTATGGTGTATAGGAAATGCTAATATAAACATTCAGTGAAATTTTCATGTATCTACAGTTATTCGTTTTTGAACTACAACAAAATAAGGAAATCGCTACATGAGAAATCGAGTGAAAATCCAATGTTGTAAAAATTTGAATTTCAAACGCTCATAAAAATTTAATTTGACTGTCCGGTAGAGATTTTTTTATTGATAAAGGTAGATAATCT